GACACCTAGGTGCACAGGCTCCTTGCCTTTCCACTGTTCGATTGCATTTAGATGTGTGCTATTGCAACGGGTATGTGTATTAATGCATTAATCGCTAATTGGATACCATAAATATGGCTCATGCATGGGAACAATTCCGTAGTAGAAAAAAGAAAGAGAATAACATGCATGGCGATGTTGCATATTTGGAGTCATTAATAGAAATAGGAGAGAGAAATCAGAAATGAATGCCTCATGATTTGTATACGTTCATGTTCTTAGGTATATGAAGATAATTTTTCGTGCATGTATTAATAGGAGGTATATGGTACTGTTATGTGGGTCATATTTTTCAATATTATCTAATCTAAAAAAATGGTAGTAATGTGTTCAAGGAGAATAATTCGTAGTTCACATATTAGACCAAATATCTCATGCATATCCATAAATTTCACATACCCACAGTTGTGTCGTGGCTGAAACATTTTCTGCTTTTATTATCAGATACCTATTAGAAAACTATCATACAAAAATGCAATGCGTTCTTTTGTCACTTTAGAAAAGCATTCCAAGGAATCGAATACCCACAAATATTTTTAAATATTGTGGGTATGTCATATCCAATGCATTTTACATTATATAAGTAAATAAGTGTGACATACCCATAAACCGTATTCCAAAAAATAAGTGTGGCATATCCAATTTTTTTTAAAATTGATATAACAAGAAAACTAGCAAAACTATCGACATGCCTAGAAATTATTAAACAACACAATAAATAAATAATATATAACCATCAGTTCTTTATACGCAGTAGAGAGGATGTGATATGTACGATGAATATATCATACAAAAAATGGATATCCAGTAATTAGGACATAACATCCAATTTTTTTGCGGGAACATAATATAACGTCCATACGAAAACTTGCGACTCAATGTAAATATTTTAAGAATTGAAGGTATCATATACCCACACATGTTTAAGACGTTTAAGAAAATTACAAGGTATTATATTCCCACAGTATGAGACCATACGTATGTGGGTTTTTTTTTTCATCGAGCCCAACATCGTGTATCTCCATCGATTCTTCATACATAGTGGAGAGTATGTGATACCTATGTATATCCTTTGAGCCCAACATACCATGTATCTCTATCGGTTCTCCATACGTATGTCCTTTGTTTTTGTATATTTCTTTGGTATATCATTTCCATCTACCGTACCTTGGGTATATCAAGCATGTCGTATGTACTAAGGTATACATTTTTATTTTGGAAAGAATAAAGAATGATCGTGCATGGAAAGGGAAGTTATGGATGTATGCATTGTTTGGAAACAAATGCATGCGTGCTAGTATCACATATGGAAAATCTTGCATGCAAAATTTAATGGGTTTGAATCCACGAGGCATTAATGAAAAACCACATAGGTGCCCAGGCACCTAGGTGCCCCAAACATTTTATAAATATTTGTGTTTCCTCTCATTTCTTTCTTTAATCTGGAAAAAATTCTGAATTTTTCAATTAAATTTTATTTATGTTTTCGTTAATATAATTATGGATTTTTATCTACATTTTAATGGATATTTTTATTTCCTACTTCATGAATTTAAATTATAAGTTTTTATAAATATTAAATGTATTGAAATTGATTCCTTGAACATTTAATGAAAGTTATAAGTAAAATTTGTCGCCTTTAGAATTTAGGGACCAAAATTGATATTAACTCAATAGTTGAGGGATCAAAAGTAGATTATTATTGGTAAACATGGTGATCAGTAAATAGTGCAGGAACCAAGAATATTTCTAGCCATCATTTTCTTGTTTTCCTTCATCCTAAAATCATCCAAATATCGAACCCACGGATGATACCATGTGACTTTTTGAAGAAAAACACCTTTCGGTTGTATAGAGGTCAAGCATTTAAGGAGCTAGATAATACCACACACGTTGTTGCGGAAATCAGTTATTCCAATATATTTCAATGGGATTTGGTTGTGAGGAATATGAATATTTGGATTAATAATATATGAATTAAAACTACACAATATATATTGTATTTTATTGTTGTATAGTTGAAAAAAAAATAGAATATAAGTAGCATCATATAATGGAAATCATTTTTCCATGCATGCCGGGTGGCCCCATGATGAAGTGGCATGTGCGGTGAAGTAGGATATGTGCATGTTGAGTTAAATAAAAGTTATAGGGTTCAACCAAGAACATCTCCAGTAGCTTCCCACAAAACCTTCCCTGGAAGTGTTTATTGAGGCGCCAAGGCGTGAAGGTTCACGTGGTTGACTCCTACCACCGTGAATAAGATTATAGACAGTGATGCATCGTATGAGGTGTTTTTGGGTGATTACCATTTTTTAAAAAAGAATAGGAAAGCTGCGGGAGCGCATTTTTTGTGCCAACTTCCCCTATACGCAATTTTTTGGGGGAATAAGGAAGATGCTGGAGATGCTCTAATACAGGAAATTTGTTTCCCGTGCATCTTGTGATGAGCCTTTTGATGAGGTGTCATGTGTGCATATTAAGATGATATAAATAGTGAGGATCAACTATTTAGGACATAGGAATTGTTGACCCTTTGAAAAACAACATCTAAATAATCATTATCAATACAGTTAATGTGCCAATGGCTCGGTGATCAGAGTGATGTGCTCTTTCCCGTCTACTCAAGAACACAGTAGCATATGTTGAATTATAAATATATGAGTCAAATTCTTGAATCTTCGATCTTAACATGGCTTGTTGGATGTTTCCAAAGGACATACAATTAAATAAATTCTCAATAATTCAATCACATATTATATTTCGGATATGCATAATTTCCTAGGAAGTGTGCGGATAAACTTATCTAACTCGGACAATTGATGTATGAGATAGATTTATCAATACAAAAAGGTATCCTTAGATTTGTCATGGAAAATACTTTATAATTAATGCATAATTTCATAATGTTGTACTACTACCACCACCACGTATATGGGTAGAAACATAGTGGTTGAAGAAACGTATATATTGAGCATCATGTCAATATCTAAGAGCATCTCCAACAGCCGCGCTAAACTAGCGCCGCGCCGCAAATTAGGACGTTTTAGCGCGCGCGCGACGCGGCGGGTGGCTCCAGCGGACGCGCAAAAACCGCGCGCGCGCTATAACGAGTTGGGCGCGCGGTCGGATGCACTATCACGCGGTGTGTATTTGGGGCGCCTGCTTCCGCGCGCGGCACGCTCGAGCGCTCGCTCTCCCACTTCCACCCCCCACCCGGCCGCGCCGCCGCCGCCGCCCGCGCCCCTGGCGACCGTTCAGGCGCTTCCCCGGCCTATCCCCGCGCCGCCGCGCTTCCGTCCCACCCCCTCCTAGTCCTGCCGGCCCTCGCGCGCCTCCGTCGTCCGAGGAACAGCGCCCGAGCGCTCGCTGCCGCATCGCGCCCGTAAGGTGTTTGACAAAACGCCTACAAGGTGTGTATTGCTCAAACTTCATGAATTTGGTGCATGTTTTGAATTGTAGTTTTTATAGTATAGTATTGAACATTGTAGATGAGTTCGTCGTATGATTCTTCTGAAGAAGAATTTGATATGAAAGAGCAGGAGGATCTTGCAATGATCATAGCTATGCATATCAATAAAAAACCGAAGCACGGTGGTTCGGTTATGGGTCGGGAATTTTTTTGGAGAGATAGGATTGATGCCCATAACAGATTGATGAAGAACTATTTTGTGGAAAATCCCACATACCTGGAGTCGTATTTTTGTCGCCGGTTTAGGATGAGCACCGACTTGTTCAGGCGCATTGCAGAGAAACTAGCGAGCCATGACCGGTTTTTCCAGCAAAGGAGGAATGCCGCCGGAGAGCTCGGGCATAGCACCTTTCTGAAGGTGACAGCCGCTTTGCGTATGTTGGCATACGGTATCCCGGCTGATCTAGTTGATGGTCACTTGGCTATGGGTGAGAGCCAAGCCATCATGTGTGTCAAGGGCTTTGCAGTGGGAATTGTGCAAGTGTTTAGCGAGGAGTATTTGAGATCTCCCACTGCCGAAGACGCCGCAAGGCTATTGGCGATGAACAAATCTCGCGGCTTCCCTGACATGCTTGGCTCAATAGATTGCATGCATTGGAGTTGGAAGAATTGTCCAAAGGCATGGCTTGGGCAATTCCACGGCAAAAAAAAGGGTTTCACTATAATCCTTGAAGCGGTGGCCGATCAGGAGACTTGGATTTGGCATGCATTCTTTGGAATGTCTGGATCTTTGAATGACATCAATGTTGTCAACCGGCCACCACTGATGAATAAGATTGCAAATGGCGAGTTGCCACCGGTGCAGTTTGTAGCAAATGGCCGTACGTACAACTATGGCTATTATCTAGCGGATGTCATCTATCCAAAGTGGCAAACCTTCGTGAAGCCGTTGAAAAAGCCGGAAGGTAAGTAAAATCTTGATTTCCACAATACTCAGGCGGCGGCTAGAAAAGATGTGGAGAGAACATTTGAGATTTTGCAAGCCCAATTTGCTATTGTGAGAGGACCGGCTAGATTTTGGAATCAAAAAATGCTTTGGTACATCATGCACGCTTGTGTGATCATGCACAACATGATCATCGAGAATGAGCGTGGCCGCGCGGGCTGCATTATAGCGCGGCCGTTGGAGCCAGCGCTGGAGGCCGCGCTAAACCGACCGAAGCGCGCACGGCAAACAAGTTTTTTGCGCGCAGCGCGAAGCGCGGCTGTTGGAGATGCTCTAAGACATTAGAAGGAGAGTAGCTAGTGATTTGGTTGGCACTTGGCAGCCAGCCGATGAGTAGAACACATCGGTGAAAGAGTTAAGGGAGTGCGACTGACAAATAATTATTTTCAAGTTGATGAATTTTAACGATGATTCTTTATCTAATGGTATTATGGTAAGCAAGGCAGTTAATTTGCCACTCTGTTGAAAACAATTAATGTATACAACTTCGAAAAATAGAGAATATGTAACGCATATTCATGAATTCATCTCGTATGTACTTACCGATGAGAGGGACAATGTTCTTGTGGCGTAGCCTGTTGATGATGCTGACCTCGGCGAGGAAGTCGTCGTAGCGTCGGTTCTCCACGTCGCGCGTGAACCTCTTGACGGCCACGTCCATTGGCCGCTCTGTCTTGGAAGCTGCTGCTGGGAGCGTGCACCTGTACACGGTTCCAAACCCGCCACCGCCGAGCTTCATGGCTTCGTGGAAGTTGCTGGTGGCCTTCTTGATGTCTGCGAACTCCACCTTCGTGGGCATCCCAGGGAGGCGCTCCATGGACCTGGCGAGCTGGTCCAGATCCTTGTGCCACCGTCGGTACCTCGAGTTGAAGTAGCACGCCAGGCCGACAGCCATCAAGGCGGTGGCAGCTACGGATCCGAGGACAGAGGACAAGATGGCCACCTTCCTTGGCAAGCCGTTGTACTGAGGGAGGTACTCGATCGTCGCGTTCCAGCGAACTCGAGAGCTGCGTACCTGCTCCGCCGTAGAGACGAGGAAGAAAAAGGACTGCGGAGGAAAGCTGGTAATGTTCAGGGGCACCTCAGCTATGGGTTTGGCTAGGAAGTCCTCGTGGTCGTAGACCGACAATCTGTGCCCTGCATGGTCGTAGTCGATCCACAGGGAGGTAGCTGATACCGGATCGATAGTGATATCGACAACCATGATCTCCATGGTCGTAAGCTTAGACAGCACACCAATCCCGATAGAGATGGTGCCGCCGGAGAAGGCGGCGCTGCGCGATGTAGTGTTGTCGGTGAGGTTGAGCGGGCCAACATCTCTGGCCAAGAGTTGCTCCAAGGTCGAGCGGTTGAGTGGCACCAAAGCAGGGAGGATGAGGAAGGTGAGGCGGCCACCCCGGCGGGACGTGCTCCGGTTCCACAGCGGCTGATATGAGATGGTTGCCCTGAACGACGCCTCGTCGACCTCCCGCCCGTCGGTGTCGTGGCGAAATTGCCAGAGTCGTGCGATACCGATGGTGGACAACACTCGGGTGTTGTTCACGTCGGAGTCGTTGAGTTTGCGGAGCACCCCGGAATCCATTACATAGAACTCGGACCTGACGTCGTCCATGGTGTAGTTGCCCCTGAGCTGATCCTGATCGAAATCACGGCATTTGGACGGCTGCGTCTTTGCGTGGGAGAAGGACATGACCGATAGGAGAAGGAGGATGCTGCAGAGACATGGGACAATATGCTGTCCCTGTTTCGGCGGAAAGGCCATTCTAGGTACTTTTGCCCAGTCGTAGCTAGCAATGCTTAGACATAGCAACTCCCTTGGTATATATAGTACTCCACACAAGTTAACTTATGTAAGGTAAGTATGACTTTTCACCAGAAGTTCTCTAGTTTACGCGGACTGCGAGCTGCCACTGACGCTCCCAGCAAGTGTTCACCCTTTGCCCCGACGAAGACGGACGGAGCCCATCGTCAAATCTTCGATACGCCGATCGACCTGACTCTGAAGTTTCCAGGTTTTTCCAGATTCCAAGCCCAGCTGTCCACTGGAAATCCTGAAAATATCTCTACGTCTAGAGCAACGAAGTTTCCTTCTATCATTTCCCTGGCCCATGTTCCAGCATCCACATGGATCAGTCATTAATCCACCGTACGCATTGTGTGGCATGCCACGGCAACCGGACGAGCGGGTTTAAGCTTTGGTTTGCAGAGATCCACGGGTCTTCCAAAAAATTGATTGACGCGTCGACGCCGACTTGTTTGATCATGCGCAATTTCCGCGCTTCTCACCCATGCAGGATAGCATACCAAGGGCGTGTTTGGTTGCCCGCATTAGGCCCAGCCTGGCCCGCGCGAAAAGAAAGTGGCCCATTTGGTTTCCTGCTTTCACTGTGCGACCCGCATCGCACGAAACTTAAAGAACATCCAGGCCAGGCCCAAGAAAAACACATGAATCGATAGTAGCTCGCGAGCCTGGCTCGGGCGAGGTAGGGGAGGGCAACACGCTTCTCCCCTCATGCGAGCAGGGGAGATGACGCGAGCTCGCCCGCGTCACCGAAAAATCGGCGGGAGGATTTCGGCTCACCTCCCGCCGAGTCCACCCCTATTTAGCCCCTTCCTCAACGCCCCAACTCCCGCCACCATTCTTCCTCCGTTCGAACTTACCCGCCGACGCGCATCGGCACCGACGAGCAGGTAAGCGGCGCATCTTCATCGGCCGGTGGTCCGCGGCGTCGGCGCTCCTTCACCGACCGGCGTTCATCTTCCACGACCGCCCCCCTCGTCTTGAAGCTGCAACCATGGCCTCTGTGAGTTAAATCCCCCTTTCTCTCTGTTCCTTCTAGCTAGATCTGAGCTGCAGCTAGGATTTGATCTAGATGCATGGTTGATTAGTGGTCTGATCTGTGAGCTGATATGGTTGGTTGCTATACTGCGGTTGCAATTTGTGTAGGCTAGATTAGTAGTAGAGTTTGAAGTTGAACCTTGTGCTTGTGTTGAATCATGCTTAGATCTGTGATTTGTAGCTATTGGTGGTCCACTTGTAGCATGCTGTTTGTTGTAGATGTATGTTACTGCTCATAGATTGTCCTGTATGCTTAGTATGATAGTGATGAAGCATGTGCTTGCTTTGATAGTGATTAACAATGTACATGTATGCTCCTGCTTTCATGGATTGTCCGGTATGTTGTGTGCTATGCTCACTGTCAATGCGTGCTACGATTGTAGGACATGACCACGCAGACGCAAGATCTTAGTCAGGCCCTTGTCATGTCCGACAGCCAGTTTGCTCCATCGTTTGTCGAGGACTCGCAGCCTATGTCCGAGATGGCACCTGATTCAGAGGTGTTCGAGTCTGATTCCCTCTATGTGCCAGTAGTGCTCGTTGAGCCAACTCCTGCTGTTGTTGTTGCTGCCGCTGCAATCAAGCTAGCAGCAACAAAGGCAAAGAAGGATGGTAGGTCGAACAACATGAAGTGACAGCTGTTCATGTCCACATTCGTGCTGAACAAGATGTGTGAGCTCATCTCTAGTGGAGTTAGGACTGACAAGGGCTTCAAGGAGGTGCACTTGAACACCGTTGCGAAGTAGGTGTTCGAGTTCTGTGGGCAAGAGGTGTCTGCCACCCAGGTGTACAACGACCTGAGGAAGTGGAGAAGTCGATGGATCCAAGTGTCCAAGTTGAGAGACCTTAGCGGCGCCTCATGGGATGAGAACACTTGCTCCATAGTTCTGGAGGCAGAGCACTACGCTGGCCATGTCGCGGTTAGCTCACATCCCTCTTCCTTTTCATACTGTTTCACCATTGCCCACTCCTAATCGCAACTAACAACACTTGTGTTTCATTCTTAGGACCACCCAAGGGACGCTGAGTTCCTCAACACACCCATACAGAACTACAGCCAGATGCAGCACATCTTCTCCTTCGGGCTGGCAACTGGGAAGCATGCCATGGGCTCGGGTGAGCCTCTTGGTTCTCCCATGCCAGACTTCCCTGGGACACCGGACGTCGAGGTCCTTGATGGCCCCGACAAGCCCGCTGCGAAGCCCTTCGACAAGCCATTTGACCCCATCCATGATAGGAAGAGGAAGAAAGGAGGCCTGATGGAGGAGGAGATCAATGTCTTTTGCAGCATGACTGAGGCGGTGAAGGAGGTGGCAACAACCATCAGGGAGTGCAAGCCCCTCGACGTCCACCCTGACCTATATGGCGCTGTCATGACCCAGGGTGGATTCAGCGACAAGGCTCTCATGGCAGCTCTCAGCCACCTGCTTGACAACAAGGCCCAGGGTGTTGGGTTCGTTGCCATGGCCGACGCTCGCAGGGTGCTGTGGCTCAGGAGCTGGCTGGGCTAGCACTACTACTAGAGTAGTGCTGACTGTGAGCATGCATGATCAACGACGGCGATGGTGGTAGCGACGACGACGACGATGACAATGACGACATAAATTTTGTGTAGCTAGGGCTCAAAAACTATTTGATGGTCTGTATATTTTGGTGAGGTGGTATATACTAACCCCTCACGCTGATGGTGAACTTGCGGTGGTAGGATGACACCCTCTTTTGGATGTGGTGGTAGGTTAACACCAATGTAGTGCTAGGTTGAACTTGCTATGCCATATAATCATGCATGCTTTACTTCTCTTCTGCTCCATTGTTGTGTGTGTGCTACTTTGCTTGCTACTTGTGCTCCATTGATTTGCTGCTTCAACTCTTGCTCTTGTGCATTGCTAGGGAAAGTGGTATGCCGTGTTCATCGGTGAGGTTCCAGGGGTTTCTAGTTCATGGGAAGAAGCAAATGCACAAGTGGCATCGTATAACAACAGCAACTATAGAGGGTTCAAGACTAGGCAGGCAGCAGAACAAGCTTACTCCGCCTGGGTGCGAAAGCACGGAGGCAGCAATGTTGACAGTGCCAAGGTTGGAGGTGTCAAAGTGGAAGCTGCTCAGGTGGGTCGTCAGTTTGGGCTGAAGCTGAAGAACTACATCATCTTCGCCCAGTTTATCACCATTGCTGTGTTGTGGCTAGGGATGGAAAAAAAGCTCGAAGCTCGTGAGCTAAACAAGTAGCTCGTGACTCGGCTCGAACTCGAAGAATAACGAGTCAAGCCAAGCTTTAGTTTAAGATCGTTTATAGACCAAGTTAAACGAGCCAATCTCATGAGTACTCGTGTAACTTGCTAGGCTCGATACAATAGATCAGCCACTTCCAATACAAAGAAAGATCAACCACTAAACAGCCTACGTCCCAGGCGCACAACCCAAGGCCGAGCAGTTGAAGGCCTAGCCTCCTAGGAGACTCATGCATTACAAGAAAATTACAATTATTTAGTGATATATATGTTTAGTATATACATAATAATTTTTATCACATTTGAAGGCTTTATGTTTATATCTTAAACGAGCTTAACAAGCTAAATGAGCCGGCTCGTGAGTTATACGAGTTGAGCCAATCTTGGGTTTGAGCTCGTTATAGTAAGGAGTCGAGTCGAGCTAGCTCGTTAACGCAACGAGCTCTAGCGAGTCGAGCCGAGCTGGCTCGACTCGGCTCGAATTCCAGTCCTAGTTGTGGCGTTGGTGTGCTAGGTGTGATCGTTGTGGGTAAGCTCACCAATTAGGGTACAAGGTAAGCACAACATGTATGGCGTATGCAACCAAACGCCGTGTTCAATGTGCCGTTAGGGCCAATGCAGCCAACCAAACAAAGTGGACTTGCGTATTACCTAATGCAGCGAACCCCGATGCAGGCAACCAAACAAGTTGCATGTGGCGTATTAGGGCCTGTTTTTGCTCAACCAGGCTGGGTTGAGAAGTGTATGCGATGCAGACACTGTAGCAAACGGCAACCAAACACGCCCCAAATGTGCAATGACTTCCTTTTCCTTCGTGTCGACATAAGAGCAAGGCCAATAAGTCCTACGAACCGGGCTATAGCATGTCGCATTTCACAAAAAATCTAGATAAAGGTCAGAGAAATTAGGAGAGAAAAGGAATTTTGTGTCCTCCAACAATATTCAAATTACTTAAAATTATTAATATTCAAAATATCCCAGTATGGAATTATAAATGTATTTTTATACATGAATTGCTTTACATGTTTAGCATGAAATTATTACTTGCTGAAACGTCCTCAAGTAATACTCCCTCTGTAATTTTTTATAAAGCGTTTTTAGAGTTCATGACAATTTTAAAAAAATCTTATATTAAATTACAGAGGTTGTAATGCATCTTACGGTTACCAACTAAGCTCACTTGGTTATATACAAGTGGGCAGTGGGATCCTAAGAAGGCGGTCTTGTTACCCCACACGTACGCTTTCCAGAAGTTAATTCGGTCATGTCACTCTTGTAGAACACGGCACAAATTTATTTATGTACGACTTTCTACCAGAAGTTCCCTACTTTGGGCGGAACTGCGAGCTGCCACAGACGCTTCCATCTTCAAAATCTTCCAATCTCCAGCAAGTGTTCACCCTTTTTGCCTGGATGAAGACAGACAGCCATCTTAAAATCTTCTTGCATGCGCCTATTGCTATGGACTTGACTGTGAAGTTTCAAAGTTTTTCCAGATTCCAATGAGTGGGACTCCCGCACAGAAGCTCCCCTTTCCCCTTGTCCCCTCCGCGACGCGCCCGAGCGCACTGGGGGTGTAACCCTAGCCGCCGGGCCTCCAACCCCTCCTCCCACCTCCTCACCTCGCCGCCGCCGAGCAAAGCCCGGTCGGCGGCGGTGGCGGTAGGATCTTTTCTTCCCTGGGCAGGTGGCCTC